GCATAGAAAAAAAGCCTGGAAGGGCATAAACCAAAATGTCAGTAGCGGTACTCTGAGGGCTATGGGATAGGTAAACTTTATTTTCTTCTTTTTTGTCTGTATTTTCTACTTTTTCTACAATGGACATGTTCCTTGTAATGCAAAAACCATTAGGGCTTTATGATCATCTATAAATAATAAAAAGAAGGTGGCAAAATCAAGTGCTGGAAATCCTGTTTTGTTCTGCTGTGTGTAAAGAGAACTCAATGTCTTCTCAGTCCCTGTGGCTCTGCTATTTGAAAAACTATTGAGGGTTCAAGGGCATTTGAAACCAATAATTTGTGTTGAATCCCAAAAAGGACATAAGAAAACAGCTTTTGGGCATTTTATCTGTTCTTATTTTTCAGAACTTAGGAAATGCAGGTATATAAGACATCCCAATTTTACATGGTCATTTACGTGGGGAAAAAAATCTTGACTTTTCATTTTACATGTATTGAAAGTAATTTTAAAGTGACTTTGTAACAAAAGCGTATTATTGAATTCATGTGAATGCGGCATACTGACTCTAAAATCCAAAGGGAAATCTTAAGTTCTAGTTATGTAATAACATCCTCTCAATTCTCCAAAAGCATAAAATTTCACAGTGAAAAATAAGTATTTTTTTAATCAGTGAATACTGACACCAATTCCATGATACTATTATAGATAGCAAAATACCAAGTACAATTTTATTAGTAAATGAAGCCAAATACCACATAAGTTGTACTATAAAAACAAATGATGTTGCCAGCTAGTCTACTGGTATGAAAAACAAAAACAAAAAAAAACAAATGATGCACTAATGCAAATCAAATCAAAACCATGAGACACCACCTTACACTCATTAGGATGGCTACTATTAAAAAAACAGAAAATAAATGTTGGCAAGAAATTGGAACTCTTGTGCACTGTTGGTGGGAATGTAAAATGGTGCCGTCACTGTGGAAAATGGCATGGTGGTTTCTTAAAAAATCAAAAGTAGAATTACTATATGATCCAGCAATGCCCCTTCTGGTTATAGACCCAAAAGACTTAAAAGCAGGGTCTCAAAGAGATATTTGTACACCCATGTTAGTAGCAGCATTATTCAGGACAGCTAAGAGGTAGAAGCAACCCAAGTGTCCATCAAAGGAAGAATGGATAAGCAAAATGTGGTATATCTGTACAATAGATTATTCATCCTTGAAAGGAATTCTGACACTGGCTACAACATGGATGAACTTTGAGAACATTATGCTAAGTGAAATGAGCCAGTCACAAAAAGGCAAATACTGTATGACTCTACTTATGTAAGGTACCTAGAGTAGTCAAAGAGACAGAAAGTAGAATGGTGGTTGCCAGGGGGTGGGGGTGGGGGAATGGAGAGTTACTGTTAATGGATATAGTTTTAGTTTTGCCACTGACTGTACACCTAAAAATGGTTAACTTTATGTTGTGTGTTTCACTACAATAAAAAAATTGGAAGAAAATAAAAACAAATGATAGCACTCTATTTCAGTGAACTCCAATAACTTAAAAAGCAACTAGGGCCGGGCATGGTGGTTCATGCCTGTAACCCCAGCACTTTGGGAGGTAGAAGTGAGAGGATCACCTCAGCCCAGGAGTTGGAGACCAGCCTGGGCAACCAGTGAGACCCTGTCTCTACAAAAAAATTTTTTAAAGAATTAGCCAGGCATGGTGATGTGCACTTATAGTCCCAGCTACTTGGGAGGCTGAGACAGGAGGATCACTTGAGTTGGAGGCTGCAGTGAGCTATGATCTCGCCACTGAATGGCAACCTGGGTGACACAGCAAGACCCTGTCTCTAAAAATAAAAATAATTTTTTAAAAAACAACTAAATTGAATGTCGTTTCCTGAATTGGATCCTAGAACAGAAAAAGGTCATTAGTTAAAAAAAACTGGCAAAATCCCAATAGCCTAGAGTTTAATTAATAATAATGTACCAATGTTGATTTTTCAATTTTGAGAAACATACCATGGTTATGTGAGATGTTAACATTAGGGAAAACTAGTTAAAGGGTATACAGGAACTGTCGAGGCAGGATAATTGCTTGAGGCCAGCAGTTCAAGATCAGCTTGGCAACATAGCAAGACCACGTCTCCACAAAAAATTTTACAAATTAGCTGGGTGTGGTGGCACATGCCTGTTCCCAGCTAACTGGGAGGCCAGGCAAGACAATCCCCTGAGCCCAGGAGTTCAAGGCTGCAGTGAGCTGTGATCGCACAACTGCACTCCAGCCTGGGTGACAGAGCAACACCCTGTCTCTAAAAAAATTAAAATAAAAATAAAGTGTTAAACAACAAGCTACAACTAAAAAAGTTAGGATCAATTCCTACACAGAAGACAAAGACAATATAAATATATTACAAAAAGCAAGAGACAAACTATGAATGCCCATATAGCAAAAGTATATGTGAAATTTTTTTTAGAGACGAGGTCACCCACGCTTGAGTGCAGTGGTGTGATCATACATAGCTCACTGTAACCATCAACTCCCAGACTCTAGTGATCTTCCTGCCTCAGCCTCCCAAGTAGCTGGGACTAAGGTGTGCACCACCACACCCAGCTAACTTATCTTTTGTAAATCACTATTTTGCCCAGGCTGGTCTCGACCTCCTGAACTCAAGCATCCTCCTGCCTCCACCTCCCAAAGTGCTGGGATTACAAGCATGAGCCAACACACCCGACCATGAAATTCTTTTTATTCATTACTGTCTATTCACTGTTGCCCAGCTATCACCTAATCATCCACTACTTGCGAAAAGCTAGACTGTTGATTTTATGTTGCAGACCTATTTCCTTAACGATTCTGGTTGCTTTTTTTCGTTTAGATCACAAATGTTCCTTATCATGGATACAGTGAGAACTTCCTTCTGCCGATCCATTATTTTATATCTTTGATAAGTTGGTTGTAAGTTTGTGAGCATCCCGATTGTTTCAAGTCAATTACTAGAACAGTTTTGTGCTCTGTGAACTCCTAGACAGTCTGACTCAGCCCAGACTGTCCTGTTTCAGTGTTTTCAAGCTAAAATACGAAAGCATTGATTGTAAGGTATTAATAATTCAGGGGTACTTAGGCATCTGCACAAACATGGTAGGTCACTAGCTACTGCAAGCCCATGATGAACGTGCCTTCGTTATTAGAGAAAAAGGATCCTGGAACACCTCTATCAGTAACCAAGTGGTGGGAAGCAATTGATAAAAACATCTTGCTTCATTACAAGTCCATTAATACTCAGAACTAAGTGAAAACAAAGCTTTACTCAGAAGATAACTCGAAATAATCTACGTTTGACATTATTTCCCAACCAAGCTTTTTGCTGTTAAAAGTCAACTATGTAAAAACTGATGACAGGTCATAACAGGATAGTAGAAAATACAGTATCACTTTTAATTACTCTGGACAAGGGGGAAACATTACAAAGGGCATTGCACATTCTTCCCTCCCCTTCTCCGAGATCAGTGGCCTGAACACCCGACACGCCTATAATGCAGGTGCCAGGAGCGAGGGATCACAGGTGCAGCCTGCATTTCCTTTCTCCATTGACCTTTAAGGTCAATTGGTTAGCATGCTCTGACCACAAATAGAGCTCTTAATTTCTCTAGCACAACCTTAACTTGATATGAAGCACTTACACGAGGAATGGTGCAGACAAGAAGGCAGATTTATTGTACTTTGGGGGAAAAAAACATGATTCCATTTAGGGAGGAAAAAAAAGCCATTGACACTCAGTAAGCAACACTGCCATCTAGTGGAACGGTGACACACCACCAAGACTTTCAAGACCAGATAGGAAACATAAGTGCATTTGCCGGTTTCAATTTTCACCATAAAACGGCGCTTTTAATAAGCTGGTCTTCAAAGAACCTCAGATCTTCTTGAGAAACTATTTTATCTTTAAAATGCATAAATGTATGTGCTTTCTGGTTTTGTTTTGTTCTGGTAAAGAATGAGTTGTATTTTTTTTTAATGGACCGTCAAATTAATTCTCAACCTGAAAGTTATTAAACAGTTCGGGGCAACCTGCCTCTGAACATCCACCACTTTTGTTCGACAGTCTAAACAGCAATCCCTGATTATGACAGACAGTTTATGAAGAAGCAAAATTCAACTGTACAAGAACTACATTAAGTTTTACTCATTTCCTCTTTCTATTTTTACAATCTAGGGTGCTATTTGAATTCCTGGAAAAAATCATTAGAAACACACCAGTAACAACTTTACATAAATCACATAACCCAACTCTTATTATGATTAGACAATAACAGTGGAAGATATTGGTGTGAGGATGTGGGAATGTTGTTCTTAATGAATAACAAAGTAATTCTTCTCAAGGCTTTAATTTTCCTTTATACCCAGGTGTTGCAGTAAATGGGTTGATTTGATGAATTCTATGAGCATATAAATGAGAATACTTAATGAAACAGCTGGGTGAAAAAAGAAATAATGTTGTGAGAATAACATATTGTTAATAACCACAATCTCATATTGGCATCTCTGTTATTACTGAGATTTTAGATTCTGGGTTAAGTGCTCTGCTCTTTGGAATATCCACGATGGTTATTGATCTTGCTAATGAGTTCCTCTATTGCAACATTTCTGGGTTTATGGTTGGAGGCACGCACGGATTTTAGAATGCATAAGTATGATGTGATCTTCATCAAACCATACTCTCGGCAAATAATAAACTCAGTTAAGGATTTCAGGAAGAGCCAAGTCCTGGGAAAGAGGTATACAAGTGTAGAGTAAGAAGTTGAATTAAAACATCTTTAGGTTGCATTTTGTCATTAGACACAACTGAATGTTTCAATTCTGAGAACCTGAGATTGTCCAGAAAAAGTTCCGAGGGTAGGATGTAGCTGTCACAGAGTCAGAAACGGGTGTGTTGCAATTCTCAAAGCAACATTAATTGGGGAGTGCGGGTGGTCCCTGAAGTACTATATCTGAATGAGGCTGTTCTTTTTAGAGGTGTCTAGACTGGCTCAGCATTCATTGTCATTTGCAATAATCTCCCCGTCCCCCCAGTCTGAAGCCTTCCTTCACAACATATTCAAGTTGTCTGAATCTTGCGCATAATGCTACTATTTGGGTATTCCTAAAGCCAAAGCAATAAAAAACGATAGGGGAGCCTTATATTAACTCAAACATAATGCCAAAGTCATCTCCAAAAAAGTTTATTAGCATGATTAAAAACATTTTCTGGAATAACAACAGAAAGAATCTCTAAACATGAAAGAGTATCAGTGGCTATACCTTATAACCAATATTTGCAAGTGAATGGACAGCTTTATTGCCACTCTTCATTTTATTAAAAACAATCCATTTATTGGTTCCACGAAGTCATGACTATTGCTTTGTCTGGGAATGAGTCCCTACTGCAGTTAAGTATAAAAAATATCTTCCATCATAATTGAAGTGTGACCTGCATTGAAGTGTGGCTCTGAGTAAAGAGTTGATAAAAATCCACAAAGAGTTGGGTTTTTGTTTTAAAAACATCATTCCTTTTACACACTACAAAGAAATAATTAGTATTTTGGCTTTTTAAATTCCTACATGATATTTAGAATGGTGGTCCCCAAAGGCCCTCCCTTCACGTAACTGTTAACACAGACCCTCTTCTGGAGGGGGGATGCTGGAGGGTACGGACTCCGAAGACTTCGACCTCCACATGTTTATACTGGTTTGAGAACAAAGACAGCGTCATCCAGAACGTAGTAGTCGTTATACATGTCGCCTTCACACAGGTATGGCAGTCTGGTGAAAGCTTCGATAACAAAGCCAGCTTTTCTGAAAACTTCAGGCAGACTATTCACTTGTTCTTCCCAGTTCTGTCCTTTGATTTCCAAAATTTCTGATGGTTTCTCCCACTTGCCACCTACTAAAACAAAGAAAAACATTAAGTTAAATTCTTGAACAAACAAATTATTTAAAGAGGGAAGGGGGGAGGGACGGTAATTGCGAAGGACGTGGTATGTTCCAGACCTGAGTGCTTTGATGAATCATCTCCTCTATACTTCCCAGGTAACCCTTGAGGTAGGTGGGCACAGAGATAAAGTATAGACTCAGGAGGGCTAAAGAATTTGTCCAAACTTGCAAGACTGATGAGTCTCAGAGCAGAAATGCAATCCAAGGTTAAAGCTGTTTTAGATAACATCCTCCATTAGACCAACTGGAGGCTGTAACGGTTAACGGGTTCAGAAAACTGGTCATTAAATACTAGAATACAGAAACGGAGAGTAACGTGTTATACATAAAAGAGAGTTTTAGACAAATGCAAGAAAATACCACTGGTGTAGTAAACTTATGCAACTTATTACTTAGATTTACTAAGCTGAAAATAAAAATTGGCTCATGAAGGATTTTAATTTATAAAAACAAACCATCAGTGTGTTTTCCAAGGGAAGTTGACCCATACCCTATCTTTTCATAAAAATCAGACACTGGAATGGATAGGTCAACCTGGTATTTCTTGGACTAGTGACTGAAGTCTGTATCGGTCATTTCTAAACCTATGAGCATCAGACACCTGGGAGATGGGAGGATAGGTAAGCTCTTCAAATTCACATACAAACCAAACACTGACTGTAGTCACATACACAAAGGTAACAACAGTATATTTAAATTTTGGAGTGCTTTTAGGTACTGTGGTGATGCATAAACTACACATATCCTTAAAAATGTTACTAAATTCAGAGTGAGAATAACCTTCTGTCAAAGAGAAAGTATACAATCAGCAGGTGCCAAGAGTACGAACACTATGGCGGAGAGGTTTTTCATTGGTGGTGGTGGTCTAGTACCGAACCCCCATCCTGTGTCTGGGGACCTCCCAGCAGCTGAGGCACTGGCACGTGACGTAAGCTCAGGCACACTTGCCTGAGACCTGGAATGAAGAGCTCGTGACAAAAGCAGTGGGGACACAAGGCTCGAGGCTTGTTCTCTGCAGGGCGGAGCAGTGGCGGTGAGACCAAGTGGCTGGGGCAGCAGGAGAATGGAACTGAGTTATGGCACCTAATGCCTGGCAGCAGCAGCGTGCTCTTCAGACCCACTTTACAGCGTGATTTGGGGCATCTTTCCTGGCTGTGGATCCCTCTCAGTGACTCTGGGAGCTATCCCCAAATCCTTTCAATGAATTTCCTTTTGCTTAAGTCAGCCTGAGTCTGTTCCTGCTGCTTACAAAGACAACCCCCACCTGAATAGGCCTCCGGGCCCAGGCATATTCAGGACACAGAGGGAGGGGGACACAGAGGACAGAGGGCCCACACGTCTGTTCCACAGCACATTCGGAAAGGGTCTCTGAATTTGAAACTGGCACAACTAGGAAACGACAATGTTTTTTTTTCAGTACTAAGATGTGCTGTTCGCTAATTTTTCTCTTGTTCTACATGAAGCCACTTCCTTCTACCGCTTCTGCCTTCCCAGCAGTTACTGGCCCAGAGCTGAGCACACAGCAGAGACCCCAGCACCAGTGACGGAACTGCTCTGGAAAGAACTGATTTTTCTGTCAAACAATATCCTTCCCAGGAATATGTTACATCCAAATCAAAATCTCACCCAAAACACCTACCACCTGTGAAGGTTTGTAAAATTCATGAAAAAAAATAATCATAGGTACATTTAGAAATGTGCTCCAGGTTAAAATCTTAACGTGAAATGGTTAAATTGGGTTACAAACCAGATTTACACAATTTCAAAAAGTTCCTGATTACGGTTCCTTAATAAGAGGTTCCTCTCTCTTCAGTTCTTCCTTTCCAAAAAGAGAAAGGAGGAAGAAAAAAGAAAGCCAACACTCCTTTAAAATACACACCCCAACGCCCCCCACGCACACACACACAGAAATGAGGACTGTGAACAGAGGCCGCCTCGCTCTCCGTCTGCAAGTCAGTCTGATTCTCCTTTATGTCGGTAAGATTCTTCTCTTTCTCCTCCCCCATTTATTTAAATCAACTGCTATTTTTCACCTAATGCATTTATACTTTAAGCTCCTAGAGAATAATTTTTAAATGTGTAACATTATGAAAGGTGTCTAAGGCGGTAAGTTTCCTTTTTCCCCCAGAGAAATAGGGAATAAAAGACTAGCTGAAAAAAAGTTTCATCTTAACCTTGAAAATTCCTTCTGTTATGGTGCTTTAGAGAGCACCTCGCCAAACAAAAGGCTCTTAAAATCACGTATGCTAGTCATCAACTGCATTCCCATGCAGGCAACTCGCTCTGCACACAGTAAGTACTAAACAGTATCTGCTATTTTCAAAGAACAATGTTTCTGTAAATTAAAAGTAACTGTCATTTAAAAAAAAAAAAAAACCAACGTGACTCTTTCTACAGAGAATAGCTGTCCTATATCTATTTAAAAAACTCTGCCTATACCCAATCTTTCCCTCTATGAAAGAGAAAGTGTCTCCTACATCGTAGTTCTAACAATCTCAGATTTGCCCATAAAATTTGGATCATAGGGCAGGGAAGGGAGTAAAAGCTCTTAAAAGTAACTTTTTTTCTCATCTGTAAAGAAATGCACCAAAACGTTAACAGTAGTTATTTCATGTGAAAGGACTACAGCTTTCTTCTTGCTTCTACATAATTAATATTATTTTAAAGAAGAATCCTTATCTTTTAGGACTATATTTTGAAAGATGTGCAGATAAAATGGCGAGGATTTGCTCTGAAATAACAGGGGAGTTTGGGAGTGGATGGGGAGAGAGGAAACAAGATTAGGCTGAAGCCCCGACAGCGGCGGTTCACTGTGCTTGTCTGCTGCTTCTGCACAAGTTTGAAATTTTCTGTAATAAAAAGCTTCGTTTAAGTGTCAAAAATTAGTTCTCTACTTATTTTCTAATGTGGTTTTTAAAAATAGTAAAAAGAACATTTTA